CAATGACAATTTTGTGTGCCAGAGTCAAACCAATCGTCTTAAAGGGCAGAGCCGGGGTTTCTGCACCCGTGTAATCTGTCCAAGTCGCTTTCTTCTGTGGCTGTGGCAGATAGGTTGTCGGAAAATGATTTTAACAACAACCTTCGACCGAAATTCAGTTCACTGCGGTCAGGAAAAGTACCCGCAGAGATTCCCAATGTTTTATGCCTTCCGCGAAGGCAGTATCAGAATGAGAAGGGCTTGAAAGCTATGGGAAGGGCCTAGAAAGAAACTAAGATGCAGCCTATGCTTTTGGCTGGATTTGTTTCATCAGCTTCCAGATCGAAGAAAATTGAAAGAACCTCAGCGTATACGAGACTCGAACTCGAGGTCACTAGTCAGTGTGGAAGCGGTGGCCTAGATGATTATAATCCTTCGAAGACTAATATTGCGCGTAGAAAAATGGAGGGACATCGATCATAAAATATCTTAAGACACTTGGCTATGCACAATAATAAAAATCAACCAATCAAACGTTGCAAGTTTGAAATTGGGGCCAAAAATACATCATGATTATATCATCTAAATTATTTTTCTGAGGCACTCTTTGAATTTTATAAACTTCAATTTAATTTTTCGATTTGTCTTTTCGGATTTTGAAACCTGTCATTTATTTCGAACTTTATTTATTTAATTTTGTTTTAGCCAAAAATTTGATTTCGGAACTATAGTTTAAGGGTCAATTTCCTGCTCTTGCACTCATCTCGCTGATTTATTCTCGGTCTCTCCTTTCAGATGTGAAGTGATTCTAATGTCAGTAGCTTCAAGTTGGTGTAAGTCCTTGCCGATTATCGATAAACCGTTGATGTAGGTCCTTGCCTGGGCTCTTGTTGACCTTTCCTTTGTTGGTTCTATCAAGGGTCCTCGAGGCAATCTTATCAGTCCAAAATTCTGGATATTGGTTGTCAACCCATTGCTTTCTTTTTACTTCACAGCCTCATCAAAGTTATTTCAAAATGAGGTGCTTCTAAAAATTCGATGAACTGCGCCTTCTATAATGTTTTTGTTCCTGTATGAGTTGGTTTTTGATGCTATCCTCAAATTACGTTTTTAATGTGAGTCCACGTTAACATTAAAGTCAAGAAAGGCTAAATTGCTTTTCTCCTTAGCCTTTTCAAAAGTTAACTGTAGACTAGATTGTAATTGATTTGCAGCGTTAGACAATTCTTTCGGATCTCCTTTCACAGTTCTCACGATATCATCACATTTTTCGGAAAGTTTTTTTCCGCTGAGGTTTGGTCTCTTTCTTTCAACTCACGGTATTACGAGCAAAACCAAACAGTATTAGCTATATTCCTGGACTCAGTTTCTTGAACCTTTCTACATTTTGATGGAAACAATTTTGACAGTTTTCACAGTCAACCACTTTGTCTATCCGTAATTGTTTTCCTAAATTCTGAACATGCCATTCGAACTCGTTCATCTACAAATTCTCCAGTATGACTGCAAGAGATGCTCCCATAGCCAAACCATCCTTCTGTGTATACCACGTATCATTGCACTCAAAGTGCACTTGACCTACAGCTATGTTTAGCAATCTTTTCATAGTATTGCATGCAATATCTGGAGGTTTCTCTTGCTCATAAAGTTTTCTGAGTGCTTTGTCGATAGCCTCTTTGAGTAGAAATTTAGTGTACAAACTCTTAACATCAAGAAATTATGTTTTCTTCGGAGTTTATTTCAACATTCTCAATCTCTCGTGCTTCTTGTGTGTTTGTGGCTTAAAAGCTGTAGCATGATCGTTGACTCTAAACTGGGCCAAAAATCAACTGGCTAGGTCGAGACGGCGAAGAACGCGTTGAATTAAGGAATCTGACGTCAACTTTTTGTCAATAGAGACTTTTTCTACTTTCCGTCGCTGTGTAATTTCTGGGCGAATGTTACATTGCTGGAGAGTAGCAAGTTGATAAACTCTGGAGGAGTAGAGAAAAGAATGTTACCTGCTTTACTAGCTGCGGCTGAAATAGCGTCCCTCTGGTGCTGAGGCCTCTGGTCCTGAAGGTCCAACCGCACTGCCAGTGGCAAATGAAACTATGGCTGCATGAACTTCGTTACCTGAAACTTCCATTTGCTGTTCTTCGGTCGTTGGAGCTGCGCGCCTGTTGCTCGGTGCAGAAGGATGTTTCTGCTGGAAAATGGTTTTTATTAGCAAGCGAGGGAGGAGCAACAGAGAGAGGGAGATCACTGGCTGCCAGTCGTACCGCTCCTGTGATATCGCCTTCATCTAACTTTTTGGCAATGCGTTTGGAGACATCGTCAGGTTTGCTGGCTGAGCTGGTGACGGGCTGAGGAAGTTTGTACTGACCTTCGTTGAAGGAGCTGATCTGCTACTTCACTGCAGCTGACAGACTGACTTTGTTTTTCTTATTTCATCTGCGTGGTGGCGTTCGTAAGCAAAACAGTGGCAAATGACTAGCCGTGCCCAAGCTTTGCTTTCTTGGTTGTCCATTGCCTGAGTGAGGCAGTCAGCAAGCAACATGGAAAAACTAACATGCGCTGCTTTAGGTACAATTTTAAGTACTGCACATTTGTATTATCGGACCATTTCAACAAAGTCAATGGTCTCAAAGTTTGAAATATTGAAGTCATTTGATAAATTGAAAATAATTACTTCGATTACTTCGACCTGCACTTTTTGACTTATAATGCAAATAACGTGATTAATCGTTACTATCGACGTATCGTACGCTTGATTTCAGATAAAACCGAAATGCATTCTGGTTGGATGGCACACAACGTGCGCAGATGTAGATTTTGATTACGTAAGTTTTTTCTGTATCGAAAGGGGGTGTCAGTTTTTGCGCAGATGTATTCATAGATTGAACGCAAATTAAACCCACAGTGCAGATTAAATGGACTTGGACTGTACTTTTGAAAGTTATGTGCCGCCGAAGAAAAAAGTTAGGTCTCGTAACATGATACCAGAGAAGCCAATACAAGGAGATGATGTTGTGGAATTGGGTCAGCTTTCTCAATTCCGTTTCGCTATCGGAGAAAAACAAGAAAATTGCGATAAAGCTACAGATGGAATGAAACAAAGTCATTTCGAGATAATTAATTGCAATGCCTTGGTGGCAAAAGAAGAAACTGTTGCTAATAAACCTACCAAAAAAACGAAAAGAAAGAGAACATCGAAGAAAAAAGAGCCTGATCTAAAACGATTGGCCTCCAAAAAACGAAAGAGTGTTGTAATTAATTGCTTAGAGTCTGATGTCAAACTAGTATGCGAAAGTGCGCTTGGCAGAGCGAAGCTAAATATAAGCCAAACAAACTCTAAACCCGGCCATTTCAAACTGGCAGACTTTTCGAGAAAGACTGGGCGCTATCAGGTTAGCGATGATTCTTTGTGGAAGATAACTAACTGTCCCGAAAATTTAAATACTTCATTTGACAACTCAGAACTTGGTGCCAATCTGCAGGACGTGCTCGAAAATACTAAACGCGTCTATATCTTCGAGCATTCGGATGAATGCGAACTTTGCCGCTCTTCACAAAGTACTGTGGGAGTTGATCTGATGAAATTGAGACAACCAGAATTTTCACACTTACAAACTGAGAAAATTCAATGTAAAGATGGAGTTTGCCCGGTTTCTGGGTTGATTTATCAACTTAGAGTTGAAACTCCGCTGTATGATCTTTCAGATTTCACAATAGAAGTTGTGGCTGATTTCATCGATTATTTGTATTCGGCTCGGTTGCCAAACGACATTTATCGTGATACCTATTGTGCTCTGGAGCAGATCGCCATTCTTACACAGTGCGTAACGCTCAAGTGCTTACTTGAAAAGCATAATTCGCCCCATGTTGTGAGCGAACAGCCTGTTGACTTGCCCGAAAGTTCCCCGTTGCTGGGTTACGAAAATCCAATGCCTCATGATAATGAGATGTTAGACTCTTTGTGGATAGGCGATGAAGTATCGCAATCTATGAAAATAACTCAATTGATACTGAATGGCAAAAATAATTCCGATTTTGATAAAGAGGAGGAAAGTTTTCTCAATTATTTAGAGCGTACTCAATTGAATAGATCCATTTTTAACTTAGACATAACTGGAGACGCCAATGAGTGCAGATCCTTTGATGATGACTTGACGACTTTGCAGATTGATGACGTTGACGACTTTGCTGAAGCTCCGTTGTTTATTAAACTCGACCAGCCTTGGCAAGAAAAATGCCAGGGTGATTCGCAACTCAAACAAGTAAGTCCTGACTTACAAGATGTTTCTGACGAAGCTGACCGTTCTGCAGAAGAAAATGAACCTTTAGAGCAAAATTCAGAGACTTTCCCGGAGCAACTAATAACTCCTGAAAAAACAAGCTTCCAAATTTCCGATTCAAGAACTGGATTAGATCAACCTATATCGCCTTTGATAGATCAACCTATATCGCTTTTGATTGTGTCCGAAACAGAATGTGAAAGTACGACTTCAAGCGTGGAAATGGATTTAAGTTTGCGGTCCAGATTAAAGTTAACACAGCAGGTTGGCAACCCACCAGAAGCTTCTGCGTCATCTGAAGGCGATACTCAGGATCTTTCTGAAGACAAAATTTTTGGAACAGATTCTCAAGTAGCTAGGGCTCCGACTAAAAAGTCTTCAAAAATTCGAAAACGTTTGGAACCCGACTTCGATATTTTATTTTCCTTTGTAAAATCACAACCCCATTTATGGTGTAAAATTCTACAATATAAACCTATTCATTTGCTATCTTTTATGAATGATTTCGCAGAAAAAATGCCAGATTACAAGTTGAAAGACAGCGTCTTGAAATTTTTCTTTGATCAACTTGGAGTTTTTTGCTCAGAAAAATCGTATTCAACTGTTTATTAGAGAAATTTATTGTTTGTACAAATTGGTTTTAGTATTTTTGGTTGACACCAATTCAATAACTTGAATAATTTAGCTTCTCAGTTTTTTTTTTTCAATTAATGAAAGCCCAGCGTTTTAGAAGGAGTTTTTGTTTCCCAATCTCTCTATTTTTCACCTATCTGTGTATACATTATTTAATTGGCGTTTTGTGTATGAAGTCCCTCTATTGGCATGTTTAAAAAAATTCCGAAAATTTGCACTGTTAAAAGTGTTTTAATTGAAGTCAACGTAATAAATTTCCAAGGTCATTTGTTATTTTAACTCAAGGGTTGTAAATCTGGCCTCCAGATATTACTGCTCAAATTTTTAGGTTTTCGAAATATGGCCTTTTTAAAATTTATTTTGAAAAACATAGATTTGAAAAAAAAACTAACACATAACTTTTCTGGTGCTCTCAGGGTGTAAGTTGCAGTTGTGCTCTCTACCTAACACAGGTCAAATACATCTGGTTTTGAGATATGCGTTTTTTTATGAAGTTTTCACTTTTTTTCCAGTTAACTTAGATTTGAAAAAACTAACACAACTTGAAACTCTCAATCCTATGGTGAGGTGCTCTCTGGAAACACTCCCGGGTTACCCATATGTGTTTCAAATTTGACTGATCAAAGCTTCTAACAGACGAGATTTTGCGAATTCTTTCTTTTAATTTAAAAAGAACCATAGCATTAAAAACACTCACAACTATTGTGCTGCTGTCGGGAAACTACCGAAGGATTACAAATTTGGCTTCTTTTTGAATGTTTGAGGTTTAGTTATTGAGATATGATAATTTAATTTATGTTTTGAATAATTGCAGCTATCTGATTGATCTTCTGATTTTGTTTAATTTCAACAATCTATATGAAACATCGTAGGTGCGAGTCATGCGCTAGTTAAGTAAAATTCTTGTTTCACATAAATCTAGCTTTTTCATTATTTATGGCTCAAGGTGTTGAGTTTTGTGTAGTCAATATCTATATATCTAAATTGTCTTTTAGTCAGAAAATTGGCGAATAGTCTGAAAACGAAAAAAATATAAAAAGACCCATTTTTGACAGACGGGCAAAATTTTTGCTCTTTTTTGGAACCAAAATCACGGCTGAAAGAGCTTTGATATAGTCCTAAAATTTTAGCCGGCAGAGTTTTAGCGACAGGAAAAAATGCCGAGCATCTGCTCAAAGCTCGGCCTGATTAGAAATCGGCTTAGAAATAAAAACGATCGCGGTTATATTAACAAAACGTATTAGTGCGATCAGTGTTTTGCTTTTCTGCATCAATACATTGAGTAACACAAAATTGCAGAATTGGCAAATTTGGGCGGAGTAAGTAAAAAGACCCGCCAAAACTTTGAGTGCGTAATAGTTCGTCAAGCATAAATAGTTCGCGTTACATCTTCTTCTTTTGAATGATTCCGTTTTGAATGATTCTTTTAAATTCGGTGTTTTATGCGGTAATATGCACAAATGCAGTATGCGGTAATATGCGGCATGCAGTAATATGCACAAAATTATTTTTAATGATACTGATTGAATGATTGCTCAAAAGGTGCTAGGGATTTTAGCAGACCTGTTTTCAGCAGACCAATCTTTTAGCAGACTCAGAACAATTATAAAGTCAGGAAGCTAACTTCAAATGCGGCATTGGCGATTAGTGACCGCTTGCTCCACTGCGCTTTAATTCAACACGAGTGTTATTGTGCGCGTAAATCTTTGTTTTGCCGCTAATTTAGACTGTTGTAATTTTGAAGTTAATAGTTTTGTTGACAAATCGAGAGATAATTGTCTTAATTCGGGAAGCTTGACCCCAGACTGAGCGTCATTTCGAGTCTGTCAATCAATCATGTATCACTTTATTACGCTGGTCTGCTGAAAGACTCAATTTTTACTTTAAATGCTAAAATTTCGTCTGCTAAACGATCGGTTCCCTATTCAAAATAAGTTTTCGAGGCTGACATGCTATTCAGTTCCGTTACGCTGCCTTACGTGAAAGTAACATGAGCTGATTGAGGGCGATTTACATTGTGTAGACAAATTGAAGTCAACTTTCAATCTAGCTGTCTCATGGAAAAAATGAATTTAAAACTACAATTATGGGAGTAATTGTACTGTTCGTGTCTGAAATATTTGTATTGACGTAAATTAGACGTAAGGGTTTTGTTCGTGTCTGAAATTGGTTTGATTACAATTAACTTTCGTTCGATCTTCCTAAAATGCAAGTCAATTTTTGAAATGTCAAGTTTATAATATTTGTATTAATGTTTTATAAATCATTTGTAATAATTTTTTTTCATGGGGTTATATTATCTTCTTGTATTTGTGAAGTTTTGTTTTAAGCAATTGATTTTGTTAGCCCTTTGCTTTCCGTCTAATATGCTTCTTTTGCAAAAAAAAAGTGAAACGTCTAATTTCCGTTTTATTGGAGCCGTCTAATTTGCTTATCGTTTAATTTCCTAGCCCCTTCGTGATTGGGGTTTAGGAAACTATACGACAAGCAAATTAGACAATCAGAAAACTTAGAATTTTAGATGATAACTTGCCCAACCACAAATCAGGTTATTAATGTCGCAGCTGTATAATTTTTAAAAAGGTAATTTATTTTTTCAATTAAATGTTTAATAATTATTTTATAATAAAAATTTTGATCGGTTCTGTGATCATATACTCTTTTTATTTTTGAGTATTTTCCTTCTGAAAAAAATGCTGTTAGCCCAGTTATTATCGTCTAAATTTACAAAAAGTTATTAGCTAAATTCCGTTTTTTACTGTTGTGTAATTTGCTTGTCTAATTTCTTAGGACCCCTCATGAATTATTAACCCCACTCCACCTATATGCGCAAGATTGGTACCGTTCTTATTTCAAGATGTTTCTCTTTGATGTTGCTAGTAGGTTTTCTGCTTTTTTTGGGTTGATTGTAAGCCTAAGCGAGCTGATTAGATCAATAAGTTTTCGTGAGGCGACAATTCGTAAGAGGTTACAATTCGTAACAGGCGACAATTCGTAACAGTAGATTGAGCGGGGAACACTGATTCAAGCGCAGTATTCCTCTCGTGCCGATTGTAAGCGCAGCGAAGCGGAGCAAGCATATTCTACTTGCCAATTCCTTGTTACGAATTGCCGCTTGTGACGAATTGTCGCCTGTTACGAATTGTCGCTTGTTACCAATCGTCGCCCTGCCATAAGTTTTACAAGACGTGAATCTATATTTTACGAACCCCTATGTTTGCACATTATCTTCGGATATTTAGGATTCTATTTTACTGCTCTCATCGTTCTTTAAAATGAGATACTATAATTTTGACAACTTTCGATAATGATGAATAGTTAGTTATGTATTACCTTTTAAAATAATTAAGAAACCAGTTTTTCAAATCTATTGACAGATCGATACGGAACAATATTGCTGGTTTGTTTTTAGTGTGCTAACAAAATATCATTAGCAGTTTTTAGTAGTTTTTAGGCTCTTTTTTGACGAGAGCTCCGAAACTCCAAGATGATATGATATTTTACAAACGGGGCTGTGAAGATACTCAATCTTAAAAATTTTATATAAAAAAAAAGTGTTTGAGATTGTTTGCAATGGGTGATCACAAAGCTGCTTACGATAAAGTGATTGATCAGCTCAATACATGTGTGATGAAAATTGACCACTTCCAAGGCATTGATATGCTGCCGAGGAAATTCGAAGGGGCGCCTAACTGGCGACAAATGGGCTCTCTGTTCGTGTTCGGGTCGGCACAGCCAACTTATGAAGGCATTCAGAATGTTCTAGAACTTTACCAAAGCATCGGGGTGAAGAAAGTGCTCTGGATTAATATGAGGACAGAGCCTGTCGTGTATGTACAGAAGAAGAGCTTTGCCCCGAGATTGAAAGAAAATCCGAAGGTTAGAACAATGTTTTTCCAGTAGAGATAAAAGATTAAGAAGGTATAAATGTTAAGTAAGCGTTTGTTGTACTAATGGTTCAAACAGGTGGATTTAGAGGAGGTGTGTACGCCCCTCCCCCTCAATGCCTTGAACCCTGGTTAGTGATTACCCAAAGGGGTTCCCCTTTGGTCGGTACTATTTTGCAACATCTATTTTTGGTCGAACACCTCTAAAAATTCTTCTAAGGCAAAAGTTTTTGTAACTGCACGCGCTGAAAAAAAATCTCGCGCTTAAAAAAACGCTTTTACTGAAAACCATACTAAAAGTGCTCAAATACGGTGTCCTTGAACTTTTTTGTCGAAATTTTGCCAGCGGCGCATATGTTCTGGAGGAAATTAGGTCTTTGTTTTGTCCACCCCTCTTGAGAAAATCGCACATCAGCCCCTGGATTCAAATAAGAAACTGATCAAGTTTCCCGAAGCTCAATAATACAATATGACGTTTTCAGGCTCTGTCAAAAATGTTGGAATGGTTGTTAACTGTTTTAGGAAAATCTGGAAATCGAAGATCTTTCGGTGGATCATATCTTCGAGTTGGAGAACTACTTGATTGAAAAAGTTCTCCTTCCATCTATCAAATCAAACAGCAACTCAATGCATTACTTCCGTGACACTTACTCCTTGATCCCGGCTGACCGAATTGACACTGAGCATACCATGGCTGATATCAAAGATGATGACGTAGTGACCGTTTCAAGTATGTACAAGCACGTAAATAGAGATGCGGTTGTGCCTATTGAGTTTGTCCGTGTACCTATAAACGATGTACCCAATGAAAGGGTTCCAGAATTGGGCGACTTCGACTACTTGGTTGAAACTGTGTGCTCTAAAGTGGACAAAACAACAGCTGTTCACTGTAACTGTCAAATGGGAAGAGGCAGAACGACAACGGGGATGTTCATTTGTGCTCTGATTATGTCAAAGAGTCAGCATAAAACAATTGATGTTCAATTAGTGGCTAAAAAAGAGAAAACGTGTGAAAATGGGTATTATAGTTTTGTGAGAGAGCTTATCAAACTGTGGCCTGAGGCTGAAAATGTGAAGCTGGAAATTGACGCAATGATGGATTTATGTGATCATCTGATAAACATGCGACAGTTCATCTGGAAATGCAAGACTGAGTATGAAAACGAATCGGGAAAAGGAAACCAATCTAGAGCTGATTTTTGGAGGAATTTAGCAATCAACTATGTGGAGAGATACGTTTACTTCATTCTTTTTGGAATGTATTTGACGGAAAATTTTTCTGCCGGTTCTGCTGGCGAAAAATGCTCGACTTTCAAGACATGGTGCGGAAGAAAAGATGATCTATTTGTGAAGGTGATAGGAAGAAAGCCAGGACAACGTGAAGACATTGACAAAATTAATTCACTTCTAGGAAATTTCAAGTGGGATTAGGATGGAATAAAGCTTTCCATTCTAAATCAATCAACCTAGCTCGATTTGGAACGACTTGGAACTGGTGCTTAAATCTTTCTCTTGCCTCAATTGACATAAACTGTTTTATAAGTTTAACTATTGAAAAGTTTGTAAATATTATAATGCACGTAGTTACTTAACATAATTGTTTGTAGTTTAAATTGAAATTTTTGCATTTCTGTCTGACGGTCCGAATAGCCTGAATTTTAGAATGATGAGTTTTTTTTCCTGTGGTAAATTTATTTTAAAAAGGATTTTTAGATGATGCCCAAAAAGCTAGAAGTTCACAATGGCAAAATAACAGTTGACGAAATCAAACAGCTTTCTCGTGAGTTTGATCTTGAGAGCGTCCACTCGCTCAATTTATCCGGAAGAGGCTTAAATGACCTCAGTGACCTTGAATACTGTCCTTATCTGGAACGCTTAGACCTCTCGGATAACAAACTATGTCGTCTTCAGTGGATCCAAGACCTGACAATGCTGGTTCGTCTTGATGTTTCCAAGAATCAACTGTCAAATCTGGAGTCCCTTCGAAATATGGAGAATCTTAAGTTTCTTAACGTCAGTGCCAATGCAATTTCAGCCTTCGATGCGATTCTCAGTTTGAAACACTTGACTGTGTTAAGTCAGATATATTTCCGAGACGGGGATTCAAAATCAAACCCAATATGTGAGAAGTCAGGGTACCCGGAGTACATAGTGGAAATGTTGCCTCAAGTGAAGTTGTTGGATGGGGAGAAAGTGAGAGGAGAGGGCGCGAAGTTCTTCTACTCGATAAACAATCTGTTGAAAAGTGAATCTGAAAAGGTACGGAAATTTGATTTGGGCCTCCTCAAAAATTCCAGGCACTTGAAAATATCTAAAAACAAGATTCACTAAATACAATATTGAGTTACTGTAATTGAGATTTTTGATTTTTTTGGGATTCTTGCCGCCAATACTCTGCTTAAATGTTTTTTTTTTGAGCTAAGGTCTTTTGAGTTCAAATTGCCGAATTTTATTTCTCTAATAATTTTTTGTTATAATTTTATTGCGGCATCCCTTCAGTGAACTAGTGATTATCAATCATCATCAATACATTATTCAATCTGTGTTTCACTTGAAACATATTTAAGAAGTCTTTAGATATGCTGTAAAATAACAATATTTTCACAATAGTTAAGATTTTTGCTGAAGTCAACGTTTCAAAATATTCTATGCAAATGTTGAAATAGTGTTGCTTACTTTTACGAACGATTCATGTCGAATTTTCAAGGCCATCTACCATGCAGCTGTTTAAGCGCGAATGCTTGAACCCTATATTTTTCTCAGTTTTTGCTAAGCAAGCTTCTGAAATATGTTTGAATCAGTGTATGGTTTTCTCCACTTTTAACTCTGTTCTATTTATGCCCTGGATTGGCATCATGGTTAAACGTTTGAAGCTTCTTGTTTTTTTTGCGATTGTGCCGTTTTTTTTTAAACAAGAGTGTTCATTTATGAGCCTGTATTATAAACTATGGTTAAGTGCACCTATAGGCTACCAAATTTCTTCTTTTTGTGTTAATTCGTTGGAAAAAATACGAAAATGGAATGTTCAGAAGTTTTACAACTGGCCGATTTCGTAAAATTTTTCCAATTTGTCAAAAAAATTTCAGACAAGTTTTTTTGGTTTTGATAAAAATGGCAAAAGGAAGAATTATCAAAACGTATCGGAGTAAAACTGTTTTTTTTTTCCCGAATTGTTTAGTGCCTCTAGCTTCCAATTGATTTTCAGTTTTGAAATGAAAACTCAAAGCTGGGTTCTTCGCCTGTGCTTTGGGGGGGGGACATAAAAATTTCGAGTTGTTAAAATCTTTTTTGGTTTTTATGACAAAATTTTTTGTGACTCTTTGGCTTTTATGACAAAAAAGCCAAAAAATCCAAAAGACGTCTATCATAGCATTTTCTGCCCAATTACTGCTGGGTAATTTTTGTCTTAGTGCTATATCAATGTTGGGCGTTGCGTTTTGCGACTATTTTTTCTCAAACTTCAGTTCGAGACGTTCACATATGAAGTTTTAGTAGAGGTACTTTCATTGTCTTTTTTCGATTTCTGATTTTTTATCCACTAGCTTACAATATATGTGTGTGTTATATATTTCAGAATTGACCTCTGTGTGAAATATAAGAAGGATTATTCATTAAATTTGAACATACAGTGTATTCATCAAATTCAAACCTACACTATAATTTTTGTTTTGTGTCTGTAAATTATAATTCCAACCTTTGAAAGTGGGGAAGAACTTTTGTCTTCGGGTTCGTTTTTTTTTCAATTGCGAGACCAAAAGGCTTATAATCGGGAACTAGACTTTTTCCCATGACCAATTGTTCTTAGAAATTTGAGAAATACGTGCAGTTGCTTGCACGTGTGCAGTCTGAGATGCTCAATTTTTTAAAATACAAGTACCTGTTAGTTCATATTTCCCAAATTCACAAGGTTTGATTTTTAGTAATTTCATTTTTTGGCTGAGTGATTTTATATTGAGTAGTTTTAAGGGCGTTTTAAATGTTTCGCGTGTTTCAGGGGAGTTTTTCCTTACAGTTTGATGCTTTCGTTTTTTAAATTTAAAAGGGAGCTCCATATTTTTTGTGACAGCTCTGCATCATCATTTTTTTCCATTCGTCTTTCAAGTTTATTGGTTTTTTAAACGAGATCTTATCTACGGATTTAGGTGTATTCGGTAAATGGCACGGTGTTGTCAAAGCAGACCAGGAAAAAAACTGTTTTTGTAATTATGGCGAATTATATAAATGATAATCTACTTTCAATCAGTTTTTTCAAGCTAAGTAATTTGAAATAACAAATGCTTTCGGATGCCGCCAGCCCTGATTTCAGGGTCGCAAACGATATCGTTTTTTATATATACAAAAAAAAAAGTTTTGTAGTCCTGAAGATTTTAAGGAATCATTTTCGAGGTTCAGCAATCTGCTTGATGTATCGTAGGTGCCCGTCAGGACCTAGTCATATTTAATTCACTTTACTCTCGCGGCTCAAATGATATTAAAAAGTCCAACTTCTCTGTTAGAAGCAAAAACAGTGCGAGAAAGTTTTGCATTTCGGCTGATTTGGCGCGAAGTACATTCCCAAGTTCCTTTTCTGGCTTTTCAATTAAATCAATGTGTTCTACATGAACTTAGTTAGCATCCACCAGGGAAGGCACATTTATCACCCCAATACTCTCCCTCCGCATCCCAAAAAACCGAGTAGTTATCGGCTTTGATAATTTCAGGGTTTAAAGGAAAAGACAACTGCTTCTTCTATAGAAGTTCCCCTAGTGGGCGAGGGATCAGGAGGGAGTGAGGTGAACAGACACGTGAAGGAAATTACAGCCAGGACTGAAGCAGATGACATGGTAGAGGATGCACTAGTCAAATTCAGTCGGTTAGTTGAGCAGTGCAATGAGTTGAGCGAGGCTGCCAGGGATAAAGTCACGTGGGCCACTAGAAAGATAAAGAATAGCTGATAATATTCTAGCATGGGTTCCAGAATAGCAGCTGCTTGTACTTAAGAGTCGGATCTTCGAAGTTTCAGGGGACAAGTTCAGCGCTCATCGAAGAAGGCAAGAAACTTGCGAGTTATTTCGTGTAGAATAAATGTTATTTAAACTTGAAATTCTTGTAAAAAGGTGTATAAAATTTGTAGATTCAATTTGTTTTACATTGTGCATATAATATTCTAGACTCTAACTGAATGAATTTTCATCTTGAAAAGTTTTTGCTGAAGAGAGCGCCTTGCTGCAACAGCGTTTTTGTTGTTGTGTTCGACTTACCACATTCTCTGTAATCATTGTGTTTTTTATTTTCAGAAATGACTGATGAAGATGCAGAAAGGGATTTAGAAAATAAGAGCAGCAAAGAAACAGGACAAGTAACGACCGCAGAAGAAGAAAATAATGAAGCTAATACAAACGAGTGCGACGAAAATGAAGAAGAACCTGAAAGAAAGAGAAGAAAACGGAATATAAATGAAGACATGCAAGTATACCTCGAAAACATGCCTTGTTGCGGCTACTACGAAAAGAGTTACATGCACCGAGATGTCCTGATTGACCTTTCAGTGACCTCTAAGACTGGCTTCGTAATAACCTCCAGTGTAGATGGTCACGTGAAGTTCTGGAAGAAACTGACAGACTCGATTGAATTTGTAAAACACTTCAGAGCTCACCTGGGAAAGATCATGGACGCCTCGTGTAGTAATGATGGAACGCTGTATTGTACAGTTGCGGACGACAAAACATTGAAAGTGTTTGATGTTCCGAACTACGATATGTGTAATATGATTAACGTGGATTTCCAACCTAGTTTATGCCAGTGGATTTTTAAATCAGGAGATGCAATAAATGCAATAGCCGTTACAGAAAAAGACTCAAGCAGAATCCATGTTTTCGACGGCAAGGGCACCAAAGAAGCCTTGAAGATATTAGATACCATACATAGAAAGCCTATCTGCGCTATAACATACAATGTGCCTTTTGAGACCGTAATTTCAGCAGATGTTTCTGGGATGATCGAGTTTTGGACTGGTCCTAAAAATATGTACGAATTCCCTGATTGCGTTGAGTTTGAGTTCAAAACAGACACCGATTTGTACGAAGTTGCAAAGAACAAATCGTATTGCACCCGTTTATCTGTGTCTAATAGTGGAAAAATGTTTTGCGCAGTATGTTTTGACCATTTTGTACGTGTATTCAAGTTCCGATCTGGTAAATTATATCGTGCGTTTGACGAATCATTTAAAAACTCGACGGAAATTCAACAGAAGAATGAATACTTATCGACTATGGAGTTCGGTAAGCGAATGGCAGTCGAGAAGGATCTACATAAAAGTGATTTCGTCTCGAGAAGTAACGCCTTGTTTGATGAGAGTGGGAATTTTCTTCTCATTCCATCTGTGCTGGGAGTGAAAGTTATGCACATAAAGACAAAGGGGTGTGTTAAGTTCATTGGGCAATCGGAGTCTTTGCGATTGCTGTCAATTGCACTCTACCAAGGTGCGTTATTCTCATTTTTTTAAAATTAGGTGTAAAAAATCAGATGTATTTTGGACCAGATGTGTTTCTGAAGGATGTAGATCGATTCAAAATCGACCTGAGATTTTTTAGCCAATTAATCGATACCTCGCCTCCCGCAGCTCAGGAATTTGGAATTCACTCGATCCATAGGATAACCGTATAGTTCTTTTTACGGCGTCCATTTTCGGCTGATGTACTCAAAATTTAATACAGGCGCATTTGGCGCCAATTAATGCTAATTTTGAGCGAAAAACGCACGTAAGCTTTCAAAAACCTCAAATGATTTTTTTTGACACAATAACAAAAATTTGCCTGATGTGTAGAAATTAAGGGGGTAAAAAGGGTTTCTGAAGAGCTCGGAGAATCACTCTTTGGTCGACCTAAAAATCTGATAGCTAAAATATGCTCGTTTGAAGACCATTGAGTTTGATGAAAATGAAGAATTCATTGTCGTTAATAGACAATGAAGTTTAAAACGCTCCATCAAAGATATAATTTTAAAAATTTCTCATAAATTGAATTCAACAAAAATTTTAGTGATTTACTAAATAGCTTTGCTTTATCAGACACATTTCTCTGAGTCATAGAAAGCTTTTCAGCTCCTTTTTATTTCGAAGGAGATTAGTATGAGAATGTAGTCAAAATCTTTTGCCTTTCACGCTCGCGCTTAGCGAGGGTTTTGCAGCAATGTACTAGATTTTTCCTCGTCCTCGTTAAAAACTTTGTTCAATTAATTTTGGGTGTACAATTTTTTGAAATTTTAATGAAAGTTTTTGTAGATGTAGCTTTTTCAACATTTTTTTCAGTTAATGTTGGCCAGCTTGCCATGCTGTGATATTTCTCAAGTGATGCGAAGCTCCTGTTCTCGTCTGTGTAAATTATTTGTATCGATTTCTACTATCAATTGAAATGCTTAACAATCTATTAGACAGTTTTTTGTTCATTTTGTAGATTTGAAAAGTAATAATTGCAATTATTTTGTGACGTGGCTGATTGATAGAGCTGACGAGTAGCTGAAGTTATATTGTCATTCCAAAATTATAGTGTTGTGTTTAGAGTCGTTTTAAAATGTTTCGAGTCGGTAATTGTGACTTGGGTGATCAAACGGATCGCGAAAAACAAGATTTCTGGAAAGATGGTTGCAGTTACCCAGTTAAAATGTTTATGCTTGCGAATATAGATTTTTTTCAAGTTAACAACTTGTTTAACAGAATCACTTGCTATCTTGGTTCATTTTGAATTAAATTTTTTAAACGGCTTCGGTACGCTTAGTCTGGAGGCAACGAATATGCCTGGGACCTCAAAGAACCTGAGTTCCTATCTGACCAGGACTTCTTCTTTCATACGGGATATTCTTCGTTTCAAAACAATTGTCGGCTTATCATTTGTCTGCTTGTTTTTTCGGCTTAATTGCCACATCTTTTTCATTGAAGGTGCTTTTTTTCTGTTTTCATTTACTCCTGCAATTCGTGATTGCACTAACTTTGACTTCGTATTTTTTCTTTTTTACCTTGCGATTACCCAATGTTGAATTTTTTCTGATTAGTGATTCCACTAACTTTGACTTTGTATTTTTTCTTTTTTACCTTGCGATTACCCAATGTTGAATTTTTTCTGATTAGTGGTTTTCGGCCTAGTTTCCGTCGGTTCATTTTCCGTTTTTTGAAATATCATTTATAGTGTATGGTATTAGTTTTTATTGGCCTAATTTGTGAAGCATGGATTTTATTTTGATAGTAAAATTTCTTACATTACTTGAAAGTTATGTAATTTGTCATTCTACCAAGTCTGATTTTGAATAATTTAAAAAAAAAAATTTTTTTATCGACTAAATGGTTTCAGCTGATGTTGTAACGGCATAGTCAACTTATTTTGTGTTTTTTCGGCGGCCACAAAATTTTTGTTAGACAAAATCAGGCATTATGAAAATGTATGGGATTGGGTTTTTTATTTAAAATTTTTTGATGACAACCTTTCGAAAGTTTTTTTCATTTTTTGGATAAATTTTAGTTTAGTAGAAAACTACCCTACCGAATTTCAAAGAAAGCGCTGCAATACCGCCTACTTCCCTGTGCGCCTGCATAATCTTCTGGTCTCTTTCTATTTTACCCAACTGTCTGCAGCCTCCAAAAAAAGTCTGTGATGATATATTTGGCCCATTTTTTCTCAAAAAATCTCCTCCTAAATCTGAAATTTGGGTTCAATGTATAAAACGGGTTATATGAAGCTAATCTGCATAAACGGCTAGGCTAAATCTTTCTCCACAAAAAGTCATGGCCTTCGTAGTAGTCATTTTTTTTTTTTGACTGTTTTTTTATTCTTTTTGACTTCTCGAAACCTACCCGCCCAAATCTGAGATTTTGGGTTCAATCAAAACAACAGGTTGTGGAAAATTCCCCTGCACAATCCACTTCACCATTTTTTTTATTACGCAAACGTTATGGCCCTCGGAAAAGTCTCGAAAATTGATCTCTTAATTCTTGAGTTTTTGCGTTCAATCGAAGCAAAAGATTATGTGAATCTCTTTTGTACAGCGGCTACGTCCAAATTTTTTTACGCTGAAAAATCAAGTTTTTGATTTATTGACAGTTTTTGGAAACTATTTGACTTTTCTCGAAAACTACCCTGCCAATTTTTAGGTTTAGTGTTCAGAATCAATCGAGAAATCCGATTTTGGAAATTTCCTCTGCTTAAGCGGCCACGACCTACTAATTGCAGAAAAAGTTATTGATTTCGGAATTCGAGGTTTTGAAAGTCAAGTTCCAGAAACTTTTTGATTTTCTTAGAAGCTGAAGGAGATGAAGGGTTCAATCGGAAAACAAAACTCGTTATGAGACTTTTTCCTGCTGAAGCGGTATTTCCTTAATTTTTTGTACGACAAATTTTATGTATTTGTGAAGATTGCATTTTCTCAAAAATTTTATTTTCTCAAAAAATTTTCTTGTATTTTATTAGAGAAACAACTGAAGGTTTTGGGCAACTAAAGGTTTTGGGCAATTTTTGAAAATACCTATTTCATCTCTCATCAGTATAACAAGTTTCAAAAATATCAAACAGCTACCTCCAGCTTTAGCTGGACGGCTAGTTATCTTTTATCGAGACATGCGAACTTTTTGGCTCACCTAGTTTTTTTTAACATATTTCATTTTTTTGTCTTATTTTGATTTATCATTTTTTGTCTTATTTTGTCTTACCATTTTTTAAGTTTGTTTAGTATCGCAAGTGGTGCGAAACTCCGATTCTCTGTGTAATAATAGTGCTGCAATTTTTTTAGACTGTCCGGACAAATCATCCGCGTGTCTAACAATGGACATGAAGGCCAGTAAGAACCCCACTCTGGATCTAATGAAGAATGACCCATGTTTGTTTTCCTGTGCATTCAAGCAAAAAAGATTCTATATCTTCAGGTATGAATACTGTTGTACCTTAGAAACCTGAGAAAAGTTGTGTTTGTTTTAAAATGACCCTATCAGCTGTGTAGAAAAAGTAGCCTTTCCGATTAGAAGATTAGAAGAAAAATCGTAAAGTGGTTTGGAAATAGTTTCTGAAAAGATCCTTTGGTTGCACCAGACTATGTCAAAATTTAATTTAGAAGAAGAAAAAGAATTTATTTATCCAAAATCATGTAGAAACAAACAACAATCATCAATTTATTTCCTGGTTACAAACAGTTGATATCGAACCGTTCAAATCAGTACATGAAATTGTAAAGGATAGACGAAAGGCGCATTGCGCTCCTACTTAAGGTCTACCCCCCTATTCAAAGAAATTAGAGTTAATATTAGAAAAAAAAAGATAATAATGAAAAAAACGGGAAAAAATCGAATTTTTTCGAAGCGCTTCTTTTGAATCTTTTCCGGGTATTAAGCACAACTCGGTAGCATACACTCAGGTGTTATCGATAATATTATACGATGTCTCAATAACCTCAATAATTTATGGACAAACAAATAGGAGAAAAAACCGAAAAATCGAATTTTTTATTTTATTTTTCCAGTTTAGTCTAGTGCGACACAGAGGCTGTCCTTCCAAATTAAAAAAAAACGTTGAAAGCTTCCATTTGTGTTTAGCAATCGTGATCCTCAGCGTAAAGATGGGGATCGCGATGTACTGAACGAAAAGCCAACGAAAGAGGAACAGATAGCTGCTTCAGGAGTGAATGCATCCGGACCACAGACTGCAACCAAAGCATGCATTCACACAGTACTCGGAGACATACACGTGAACTTATTCGCAGACAAGTGTCCCAAAACAGTCGAGAACTTCGTCACGCATGCTAGAAATGGATACTACAGCAACCATATTTTCCACAGAGTCATAAAGGCTTTCATGATTCAAACGGGAGACCCAACAGGAACCGGGATGGGTGGCGACAGTATATGGGGGCATGAATTCGCCGATGAGATACACCCTTCGTTGAAACATGATAAGCCTTATACTCTGAGTATGGCCAATTCTGGCCCGGGAACAAATGCGAGTCAGTTTTTCATTACAGTAGTTCCGACTCCTTGGCTTGATGGAAAACACACTGTGTTCGGAAGAGTGTACAAGGGACTTGACGTTGTGAAAAATATATCAGAAGTGAGAGTCAATCCTAGGACCGAAAAACCGTATGAAGATGTGAAAGTGTTGAACATATCTACAACTTGATATTAATTTTGTGCTAGCTTAATCGAATTGTTTCCAACTTATTTACATCAGGCGATTTCTCACTAGGAATTACTAGGAAGACGCTATTTTGCTGAAATGTTCCGTTCAAGTGTTTTTTTTTGTGAAAGAACAAATATCAAAAGTAATGCATTCATATACTTTTTCCTCAGTACTCTCCGTGAGATCAGTTTGTCATAAGAGAATATGAAATAATATCTCAGTGAGCAAGACTTTTTGGTTGATGTGCGAACATCCCGTTATCTGCGAATATCCGGTTATCTGCTCAAAGAGCATCAAAAAAATAAATTCTCCAACTTAAAGAAGTGGGAGGCAAGGGCGCAAAGAAGATTTCAAACGTAGAGCCTGAAAGCTTAGAAAAAATCAAAGATAGCCGGTTACTTTGCAAGTAGCACAGAATGTTCCGACCATAGTCTTAAAAATACAACAATAAAGTTATATTTTCAAATTATTGTCGTTTTTTGTGCGTAGTGTGATAAAGGATCTGAATGAAAAGCTAGAGCTAGAGCTTGAGCATATTCGGCAGGCATAGTAAAATAAGCAAATTGGAGAACAATTTTTATTAAAAAAAATGACTACAAAAACAAAAAAAATCATAAATCTATTGTTGTTTTGAAGTTTTTAGTTCCAAAAAGGAGCTAAAATTCTCAAAAAATCTATTTACTTGAGTAAAAATAAGAGTTTACGACTTAAATTAAGCTATTAAAAGCTTTTAAGCTGTTGCAATATGCTACTTTTAGCTTGCTCGCTCGCTTCACTCGCTCTAAATTGGACGAAAAATAAAAAAATTTCAAACCGGTTTTTCTCAACATCGGGAAACCTTTCGGAATTTTATAATGACGTTCGAATCACGATGAAATATGACGGGCTTTAATGTGGTAAAATTTTTAACTCACTCGGATGATTATTTGGGGTAGCTGATTTTGTGGTAAAAAAAAGAAAAACCAAAGCACTTCCGAATACAAAGTTCCTCCCAATTTTTCAAATGGTCGGAACAAAAACAAAACGTTTTACTCTCTTCTAGTTTAAAAAGGTTGGCGTAGATGTGATTGACGTGATTAGGTGTTAAACGCCGGTTTCAAGCAGTTTTTCTTGGAGCGATTTTTCTAATTATTTTGATTCTGCTTAGCTTTTGTTCAGGTTGTTCTTACCCGTGAAAACACCCAGAGCAACTATGAAAACATGAATTTTGAAATGTGAGGTATAGTGGCAAAATGATGTTCTTTTGTTTCCTTTTAAGTCTACTTTAGCAGATAATCAAAGCACAAGAGAAAGTAACACAAAAAAATTTGCTGGCCTTTAAGTTTTTAAGTGGATTATGATGTCAGTTATAGTGGATTGAAAAGTAGAAACATAGTAGAAAACAGAGGAGGGAGGGAATGGTGTAAAGATGAAGTCTGTGACTTTAATGGTTGCTATGCATTTCATTCCTAATTACCCTGATGATGTTTGCTATGCATTTCATTCCATTCTTTCCATTATGATGTCAGTTATAGTGGATTGAAAAATAGAAACATAGTAGAAAACAGAGGAGGGAGGGAATGGTGTAAAGATGAAGTCTGTGGTTCAAGCATCTGGCACAATCGAATATAACTTTTATGTGGGTTAAAGTTTTATCACCTGGATTTGTTGAAATTTTATTTATTTATTTTTTTAAAATTCTTTTTGGCTTGTTTTGGCCTAACAGGTTTCGGCTTAATTTAACAAAAGAAGTGCATTCATACTTATAAATCCACATATGAATACCCTCAGGTTTATATGCATTTTTTGAGTTCAATTCAAGTTCATTTGCTTGAAGACAAGCAAAATGCACTCCATTTTGGAAAAATGGAATGGCGCTTAAAAAAAAGATCGATTTTTAGTTTCGAAAGTTGAATTTAATTTACATTTTACCGCGGAATAAAAATTTCCTATTTATCCCATTTTTCAAATTGGTTTAATTTTGTCCAGACAATTCATATATAAATTGCTTAGGAACTTTAAAGAGCTTTAAAGGCATGTATTTCTCTTTAATATTCAAAAATTGACTCTTTCCCAACTTTCTGTGGGCTATGTTCATAATTTCAAGCTCAATCAACCATTTGGCGCAGAGATAGCACAAATACTTGAGAAGGCAAAGGCTTGTGGTTCGAATCCGGCTGGGATCTGTTTTTCAGACCATCGTCAACGTGTTTATTTCTATCGCCTAAATTCCTTGAGCCCGATTTTTGTGAACATTCCAAGTTGTTGTTACACCTATGTTTGAGACAATAAATCTCGGGAGTTCGAATCCAGTTGATCTATTTGTTTTGCAATTTGAAACTTTTCGGCTTATTTGGATTAATTTCTGTCTGCTTATTTTTGAAGGCTGAGTTCCGCAGATTGTTTTTTTTTTGAAAATTTGGCTTCTTTCCAGCGTTCCGAAAACTTTGTGTAAATTTTCTTATGGTTCAGGTATTTTTGTTCCGGATATTTTGGCCTTTTGTTCCAATTTTAATATTTTTTTGACAAAAAAGATGTTTTGAAGTTTTAATTCAATTCTGTTTGATTTCAATCATAGATAATCATTTTTATCGTAAGTGGGAGAAGATCAGCTGCGCCTCCGTGTAGAAGGATAAAATTAAATCCAAGCAATTTTTGGTATAATTTATAAACTAATTCATTCAATTTTTATGCCCCGAAGATCATTTTAATGTTTTTGAAAAACACTAGAAAATTCAGTAAGCTGTGCATTGGAAGCAATTTGTTTATAAGCACTAAATATTTTCTACTTTTTCAAGAGAATAGAATGTAGCGAAGACTCTTATATAGGTCTTAAAATATTGATGCACTTCAGTACAATGCACTTTTTGAGTTCAATTGAAATTAATCTGCTGAAAGTGACGTAAATATCACTCTCCAAATATGAACGTGGATCTTAAAGGGCATCCATTTTTTTCTTTGAATTTCGAAATTTGAGATTTTTTGAACATCGTGTGTTTTTATGTTTACTTACGTTCATTACTCTTTTCCAATCTTCGATTGGCTATGTTTCTTTAATTTGCTGTCAGGGAACCGTGTTTCCTTATTCTGGAACAGTTTTTTTCGGACAGCGTTTCCTCAATTACTGCACAAGAACTGTTTCCAGAAACATTGTTTTCCCTATTTAGACAGGTTTTCCTGAATTTGCTGCGAGTAAGTACGATGTGGACTAGCGAGTCAAGTGTATTAGTATGGTTATGCCCTTTTAAATCTAATTCGCAAATATCTGTGCTAATTTGGCACTTTTGCCATAATCACAATCTGCAGCATTGGAATTTTTTTAGCATCTGTTCTATGCATTATTTGTCGTGATATTTAAGCCCTTCAAAGTTGTGATTCGATCGACATTAAAAAATTTCCCTGTGTCGAGAGAAACCAATCTGAAATTTTTGGTTTTTCGTCTAATTTCGACCGATTTAAGTGATCATAATTTGTTAAATTGGTTATTTAGGCTAAAAAAATTCCTTGCAAACAGAAACTAGTTTTGAAAGCTATGTTTGCAACTTCCCTGCCATAAAAATTTTTTATTTTTTTCAAAAGATGTTTGTTGCCGATTGTGCCTTATTTACTAATTTTATACTCGTGTGTATAGTTTTATCATCACCCTACGTTCAAAAAACGACACTAATTTGAAAAACTTAATAATTTGAAGAGCTTATATTTGTTGTTAATATAAATATGGTCGGAGCATTCTGTGCTACTTGCACAGCAACCGTCTATCCTTGTTTTATTTTCTTCACATTTACCCTTTCTTGTTCAACATACACTGCGTTTGTTACTGAGTATGTGAATTTAGAGTTTTTAATAGTTCGGTGCTTGATCAAGTTCTTGGGTCAGTGGCAGGCAAATGAAGTAAAATTCGTTTATGCGATATCGCCGTGCCTTTAGTAAACACACACTTGACGACTTCTTGGCCTTCGAAGTTATTATCACTTTGAAAATTTAAAATGGCTCAAGCAAATTTTGTCAAGTTAATCGAATCTTCGGCATGAATCCTAGGCTCCTCATTGATGTTTTCGGCAATTAACGAAGTTTTTTCTTTTTTTGTGTGTGTCTGTAATACAATGATGTCGCGTCCAAATAAAATTATTCCGCATTTATTTTGTTCAATAAAAATTGCATTAGCTTCAACGGGGAAATACGACAATTTTGATAGTTCGGCAATGTTATTGAAAGTCCCGCATTGAAGAAGCTCCTGGAAGATGAGGGAAAAAAGAGAAAGAAGAGGCGGGCAAATGAGGAAAAACTCGTTGATGTTTTATCTCTGATATTTTATTTCTCTGCCATTATTAGGTATACATTTAGCAATTTTTTGTCTTTCGATGTCGCTATTGGTTTAGCGTGGTTCCCAGTATCGTGATTTTTTCCAGCAATTATTATTTTATCAATGTTTTTTTTGTGTGTTTCTGATATAATGATGTCGTATCGTTAAAAAAATTGGATAAGGTTGTTTTCCTTGAATGGTCGTACTTTGTCCAAATTTTACCGTTTCCGGCTCAACATAAAATGCATTAGTTTCCACAAGAGAATTTGTGATTTTTGATGGTCCAGCAATTAAACAGGCACTTGGAACTCAGGTAGGAAAGTGACGGTAAACTCGTTGGTACGATTCAATTGTGCCATATTTCGGCACACACTTAGTTTTGGCTTTCCAAGTTGTCTTTGGTTTGAAAGTTGTGGACAACAAGCGCAAATTTTGTTCAGCTTCTTCAAATCTTTAGCGTGGGTCCCAGATGCCCTTTAATGTTGGCTGTAATTAATGCTTTATGATTATTTTTTGTGCTTGTCATACAATGATGTCGTACATCATTTCAAAAATTGCTCAGGATTGTTTTCCCTGAGTGGTTGTTTTTTGTGCATATTCACCATTTCTTGTTCAACAAAGTTCATTAGTTTCCACAGTAACGTTTGGGATGTTGTTAATACGGCTTTTAAGTAAGCACTTGAATCTTTGACGGCAAAATGAGGGAAAACTCGTTGATACATTATTTCAGCCATTTTTAAGTAAACCTTTTGCGAGTTTTTGGCTTTCGATGTCTTTATTGACTTGAAAACGTTTGGACGGTACACACTATTTCATTCAGCTTCTGCGAATCTTCAGCATGGTTCCAGGATCTTCCTTTTTAGCAATTAATATTTTGTGCCTTTTTTGTGTCATACGTTGATGTCGACTTGATGTCAAAAAATACGATTGGTTTGTTTTTCCGTGAATGGTTGTTAGTTTGTCGTTTTTTGTGCATAGTGTGATAAAGGATCTGAATGAAAAGCTAGAGCTTGAGCATATTCGGCAGGCATAGTAAAATAAGCAAATTGGAGAACAATTTTTATTAAAAAAATGACTACAAAAACAAAAAAAATCATAAATCTATTGTTGTTTTGAAGTTTTTAGTTCCAAAAAGGAGCTAAAATTCTCAAAAAATCTATTTACTTGAGTAAAAATAAGAGTTTACGACTTAAATTAAGCTATTAAAAGCTTTTAAGCTGTTGCA